GTTCACCTCCGTATGTTAATGGGAGAAAGATTATGATAGATTATGATAGTGTAAGTAATGATTAGGGAATTATTTCGAAGAGAAATTTATCGCAAAACTCTTTATCTTTTGTTTTAAACAACAGTTACGTTGCTCTATATTTTCTATTTTATGCTAATTTTAATAATAGCTTATTATATGCAAATGTACCGTAATAAGTATTATGAGTTATTAAAATATAAATTTTAATATTAACTTACAATATAAAAATAATGTTAGGTATTTTTATGAAAAGAATTGATGACATTAATACGGAAAGTCATTCGATACATTTTATAATTTTATTATACATATACAATAAAAGAATTAATAATTGGCATGAATTTACTGTGTAAAAATATATCATGAATAATGTAAAGATCTTATTTCACTTTGAATAGTGAAACGTATATGTAATGAAGTTGTATCGAATTCCTGATGTTACGTAAATAATCGAACCTGCAAATCTCATCTTGATTTAGTCCTTTCTTTAACCGACGTATAAAAAAATTTAATGGACCTTTTGTGTAATGGAAATGCAACGCGTTAGATGCATGGCTTATTACTCTTACCGTCTTTTGTGCCGCGCGCATTTCTCACCTTCTTACCGTAACATGAAGTAACCGGATTATACTAAAACGAATCAGTTCGTACCGCAGTAAAGGCACGTTCTTTACTTCTCCTTGCATTTGAATGGGATCGAAACACTATACGGAAATACATGACGGGCTAAATTTGCATGCTCAAGTGCTTGGAAATTAATGGCCATGACTGAACGAATTTCTTCCCGAAAATACATATGGTGTGTTTCTAAAATTCTTAGACTCCGAAATTCTTTATCTAATTTTAACTCTACTTAACAAAGATTATCAATGTTTGATTTAATGTTTGAAAATTTTCACAAGAAAATTTTGCCGATCGAGTTTTAGAAAGAAAAAAAAATAAATAACATCATCTTCTATATTTAATTCAGTTTGAAATTTATTTTAATGACATCTTATTCAATTTGAGATTTAGTTACAAATTAGATAGTTTAAAATCTTGTTTAAAATCACTAATATTTTTAAAGATGACAATTACTGCTTTAGTTTCGAGAAATGAATAATGTTTTTAAATAAAGTAAAAAAAATTCTTCTTAAAATAATCCTTTCTTACTAATTAAATGTAATGATTCTCTTAATCTTTTCAGACTGAATTATATTATGACGAAAACTATTTTTAAATTTTTAAGCTCTTAAGTATTTATTCCACAAGCTATAATTATTCTAAAAAAATATCACGTTGTGTGTGTGTGTGCGTGCGTGCGTGTGTGTGTGTGTGTGTGTGTGTGTGTGTGTATTCGTTGCGTTGATTGTAGGAAAATATTGCAATAAGAACTTTTTATTTTTTGCATTTTATTATTTTAATTATTAAAACATTAATAAATTCAAGTTAAATATTACTACTAAAAATATTCAAAAGAACAAAATTATAACTTGCGTATATATTTTTTATTCTATTATTTGTCACTATATGATAACTCCGTTAATAATCGTATCGTTAAATATCTTTTTGCATAATTATTTTCGTGAAACCAAAATTCATTTGTTCAAAAATGTAAACCAAATGCGGGAAAAATACATGTTACTCATTTACATATTTATTATGTAAATACTGGGAAAAGTTCATTCGTACAATATTCTCTATATGATAATACAGTTACGATAAATTTATTATATTATTAAATTTACACGGAACGTAAATCTTTTATAACCTAATTTATATGCTACAGTAATCATTATTAAATATATGTGATGACTAAACTTTTGAAAACATTAATGATGTTTGTAGTCTTACCAATTTTGATTTTATTTCTATATTTATATTTCTAATGCGTATCATGGGTATAATTCCAATATAGGGAACGATTTCATCATTCGTCCTATCAAAACAGAAGTGAAGCGCACTTTAACCTATATCTCGTTTGAAAACGGTGAAAATTTCCTGCTGAAATATGCGGAGCTTTAAATTTTGTACGCTTAAATGACTGAAAGCAAATTGGTGAGAATGAATGAATACCAAGCCGTATAAATCCTTGCAGAGATATGAAGTTACTCGTCGCGAAAAATCTGATTTTTGCTCGTGACGTTTGCAATAACGAATACATAAAACCCGTTTGTGTGCAAAATTAGTGTGACGTCACGGTTTCGTTATTCCTGACCGATATTTATAGTAATTTATACACGAAAATATGTAACGTTGACGTGCATATGATTTTGCGATTGCGGAGATTCTCTTTTCTGTTGCTATAAGCAATATTATAAATATTATTAATATCATTTAATGGTAAGTGGAGAAGTGGAGATTTTTGCCTTGTTAGCAAATATCTCTACAAATATCATTAACTGTTATAAAAAATAAATAAAAAACATTGTCTGAAAAAACAGAAATAAGATACAATTTTGATACGAAAAAATATGATTGTTTTACATTTCACGATAGATTAATCTTTGGTTGGTTGTATATTTTCAATTTTAATGTGAAAAATTTTTCGGAAATTTATCTAAATTTGTAGAATTGTGTAGAAACAAGTTCTCTTCATGAAAAATAATAAGTTTTTCGAGAAATACGTAAATGTGTCGCTAAATGCGCATTTGCATACGCAATGCGCGTTTACCTTTTTTGCGACGAGAGATATTCATTATTTCATGTGAGGTACTGTGGTGAAGCCCAACTCCCGTGGACGCTAACTTCTTTGCGTCGTTGACAGAACCGCACAATTTGCACGTCGCGCTCGTTAACGCAAAGAGTAACCGGGAAACAGCGTCGACGCTATAAAATATTGAGTCAGGTGTGCGCGATTGCGAAATAAAAATAAATACGAGGAAACTTTGTGTCGATGGAGATGCCTGCGATTCAGTCTGTCCTGCAACAATGGCGGGAACGTGAGTTCCCGGCGCTATCAGCTGGAAACTGGTAACGGTCTTGCTCGCTAAGAACGCGAGTATCTCGCGGAATTCGGGGCATAAACGCGTTGCGCGCGAACATCGCCGTTTTTCACATTATATAGAGAACGGAGACTTGCGACATTACGTGAAAGCCGTAAAAGAGTAACGCCACTCGGTAGGAAAGATAAAGGGAGGAGTTATTAAGGTTGTGGGTTTAACAAGAATATGACGCGCTTTGCATATGACATGCGAGAGTTTCTTATTGTTAGTTCCTTTTTCTTGAATTTAAGAGATAGACACAACAGAATTGTAAGGGTAAAATAATAATAGAACAAATATTATTACAATTGAGAAAAATAAATTTAAATTTTATTTAATTTTTCGATCCTTTCAATAACATTTAAATACTTGATATATTTAAAATAAAAATATATAAAGCATAAAATACAATTAAAACGATAAATTTATATATAAATTGTATATCCCAACTATTAGAAAAGATATTTATTGAGCGAATTATTGACAAAATAGAATAATGCTGAAATTTTCGATAAGAATAATTCAAGTTCCTTCATACTTCTCTGTAATGTAATCATCTTTACAACTTTAATATATAATATACTTTTACTATAATACACTTTTAATATATAAGTACTTTAGAACTTATCCTCTTTTTCCTCTTAGGAAAGAAATATCAAACTTTCTTTTAGCGTATTCCGTATGACAAGATTGTTTAAGCATAGAGGATCGTAACTTACGACTTAGCTGCGGAGACTTCGCGGAATATCATCGCGGAAGCAGCTGAAGGAATTCGAAGTGCAAACGCGATGAAAGCAACCATTTTTCACTCACCGTTTAAAGGGAGGATGACACTGCCACACACTGAGCATACTGCGAAGAGGGTAAAGTGCCCCGAACCCAACAACGACACTTTCGTGGCGCATATATGCCGTGCTAGTAAATCGTTTAATGCGAGACTCCCTCGGAACGACCATTTAAGCGGCCGAAGGACGATCTCGGCACGTTCCGTCGTGTTTGCACTTAGGTGAAGCTACACCTTGATTTTATCATACCGATGTAATCTGGCGCGGTGCTGGTCGCCATTCGGCCGGATGTCAAGGATATGAGAGCGGAAAATGGGATTATTTAAGGTGTAATTAAAACGGGATACTCATCTGCTATCCGTTGCAAAATTAAGGAGAGATCTCCACCGACCATTAGAAATTTATTGATTACGGTCGTGAACTTTCGCTAAATACAGCATCCAGTTATATTACATGAGTCTTTGTTAATTTTGTGAAACTTGTAGTTACAGTTTGTACTAACTCAATCTCGAAACCAGCAAATTATTTGGTCGAAGTCATTATTTAATTCTGGTACAGTGACATGAGATGCTTATTGAGTGAGCGAAACTCTATCAACGTAGAAGTTGCATAATATTCTATTAAATGTAATAAACTGTTCATATAAAATTCTAAAGTCATACTATGAAGTAAAATTTTTAGTAAATTCAAATTTTATTATAAAACAATTTTAAAAAAATTTAAAAGATCAAATCTTTATAATTAAATCTTTATCATTAATATAATAAATTAAGAGCATGAAAATTTATGCTGAATGTTTTATACGTAAATAATTTTATAAATTCATATCCTATAATAATAACGTATAGATTATGTTTCGACTTTTCTGTTATACGTATCACAGTATTTTAAATTAAAATCAAAAAGGTTACATCACAATTAATTTCACATCAAACAAAATTTGATACATTTTCACCGCTTACATGTTGCTAGCTTGTCAATTTGATTCTTTTGAATTGATCATCTTCAGTTTTCGTGCATTTAATGTCGTAATTTTTCTTATTCATATAAATAATAACCGTCTCATCATACAAACTGTATCGATGTGAGACATATAAGTGCAAATAGATGAATTTTCATCCATCGTAGGTTTTTATGCTGCTGACTATTATTGATTTAACAGAATTATTGAAAGAGTTTAATTAAGAAAAATACTCGTATATTCCGTATGTGTACCGCAGTGCAGAAAGCAAATTTCACTTCGGATTTTTTAGCAATCTATCTTTGTCGACAATTCCACCCAAAATACACACGCACGCGCGCACGTACAATCCCGATGAAGCTGCGTGTCGCAGAAAATGTGGGACGCGTCCACGAGCATCCAGGCATGCTCTGAAAACTGCATTGACGAGCGTTCGCACGGGATGTTATGGACGTAGTCTTTAATTGACCGATCGCACTTTTGCCTCGTTCAATTCGGTCGGCGTGTATTGCCGAAATCGAGATCGTGGACCGAGATCCCATAAACTCGGGTCGGCTGTCCCGAGTTTATGGGACCGCGCATCGGGATTTTCTATTTTTAGAAAATTGCCATTTGTTCGTGTTTTCTCTGCAACATGCATCTCCAGTTCTTCCTCATTTCAGTTCCGCGTTTGTAAAGACGTGCATCGGGAACGAAACGCATCTTCTATCGTTGACGAGTTTAAAATAAGATCACGTGTAGACGTGCGATGTAATCTATACGAAACGTGCCGGGATAAGCAAATGGCCTGCTAACGATTGAAACGAAGGTCTGGCGCAATTCTGAACTGTGTGTTTTATCTTAGAATTCAAATTCTAACACAATATTGCGAATACAAAAAACACACTGCGACCTTAGAAGATAAATAATTTAGCCTTTTTATATTTTTTAATATTATTTTTATCTAGATATATCACATTGAATTTTTAAAATGAAATTTAATTGTAACTTGTCCTTTATATAAAATTTTAATTTTATCAAGTAAAAATCTTTTGGATTAAATATTTTAATTAATATTACATTTAATTCTATAGTCATTGATTTATTACTAATATATGGATCCAAACTGCATATATGTTTCTACGTTTACATTGTACGTGTATTGATCTTTTGTCGTTTGTTTTAAATATTTACACATTTAATTACATCGCACCTCTGTTTGCGTTTAGCTCGCAGCAGACCTTTAACCTTTCAAACTGATTTCGTAATCAACGGTCTTTTTTTATTTTTATATCGTTCAATTTTATTGTTCCGTATTTAACTTCCCCATTTTACTCTTTCGATCTCATATTTCTATCTTTACGACTGTTTTTATTTATATTACGCATTTATTTTCTCGGATGTGTGTGTTAATTAATTTTTTTTACTTTGTTTTGTTTATTCATTGCAATGGCAGAAAAACAGAAGAATGGATGCATTTTCTGCACATTATGTTAGAGTCGGTGAAAACCGTTTCCGACTACTATAAGTTTGATAGACGTGACTAAATGGCATTTAGCTTCAACATCATCTTTACAACTGCAGCTATTCCAACGCCGTCGCCGCAGCGTGTATTTAATTGGTGATTAAACTGAATGCATGAAAGTCCATTGGGTAAATTCAATGCAGATGATTCGCGGTGTTATAACATTCTCATACTCAACGCCTTGATTATTATAAATAATCTTCCCCTTCTTTTATCGCATTATGCATTATCACCACGCGACATCATAACTAGCAATATCTCAGTCTCTAACGTGACTTGGAAGTTTAGTTTCATTTCGTCTTGCAATTTATAGCCCTTGGAACAGTTTTAAATTTATATACACGTTTCTTTTGTAAAATTTAAGTCCTCTATGATTTCATATAATGACATTTACTTTATCTTTTAAAACTATTTGTTGCCTCCTAATTAGAATTTTATTATTAATTTATTGAGCTATAAATTAACAATACAACTAATTCAACCAGAGCTTTACTGTATTTGATATAAAGGGTGGGCCATCTATTGGTACGTTATATAATAATTGGGGTGACCGAATGGCATACTGTAAGGCCAGTAGAGGGAGCCACATGAACGAAATCGTTTTTCATTCTTGACGCGGATACTTTTAGCTTCACAACAAAAAAAAAATTAATAAAAAATATCAATGTATGCTCATTTGATCGCATTTTTAAACGTACCAATAGATGGCCCACCCTGTATATTAGTTATAATATAATACAGTTATATAATAATAAGTATAATATATTTCAAATATACAATTCTAGTCAACCAATAATTATCTTTTAAAATTTATTTGACCTTTAATTTTTAATATAATCATTTTGACTTTAACAATAATTTATTTACTTGTATAATTTATTTATTTATTTATTTATATATATAAGTAAATAAATTATTTAACAACTAATGAATCTTTATTCATAAAAAACAACTAATTAATTTTTACACTTGCATTGGCTCTCTAAAGAGCATTTTTGTTGTTGATCAAATAATGTATATTTTATTTGATAATTGTATACGAAAAGATGTTATTTTTGTGGACGTCAATAAAATTATTTATGTAAATGCGAAAAGGAATAAATTTTTAGCATTCAAATTCTTTCTCGTATAAAATGCATTATATGCAGTGTCAATATTTTCAATGGTTGCAGCTAGCGAATTCAGCTGTATTAGCTAACACGTTTGTATAATCAACAAACTGGTCCGCCACAATGATCTGTAGAATCAAATAGCTCTGCAATGAACTTTTGATTTTGTTTTTGTTTAGGCTACGTATATATAACTTGAAAATTACTACATAGTTAAAACTACAAGCAGAAGTTCGAAATTCTACTACTCGTAGCAAATTTGCATTTTGTTGTTTCGATTTTTGAAGATTAATTTTTTTCTTTTGATTAACGGAAAAAATCTTACTTTTTTAACCGACACCTCAGTGTTAGCGAGATCAAAGTGTTTAAAAGCGAACGCTACTCAATTTCCTTTTCTCGTGTACTTTGAAGGTGAGGGCGGTAATTGAGTGCATGCAAACGCTGTGTAACGTATAGTGTCTAATTAGTAGCTAAACTCGCGATCGATGCGAGACCTCCACCCCTCCGGAGTTTTCAACTTATTTACAAATTATGCAATGACCTATAATTAGTAATATTAATTCCATCAACTGCGTTAGCGAAATAAAACCGCGCTGAATGATAAGTCTTTAAGTTTCGTTCGAACGTCTTACATGATTAATTATGACAGAAATATCGCTTTAAAATTTTTACTTACATCAAATGAACGATAAATGGATTATATACATGCGTTATATACGAGTATCTTTACAACTATACGCTTCGTGTTCGTATAATTAGAACGCGATAATCGGCAAAGTAACATTTCCTTGTGCTATGTAACAATGAAATAAGCATCTGCAATTTAACGATTACAAGTCTTTCTCTTGATACGCGCGTGCATTACATATCTAGAATGAATTATTCTTTTAAAAAAAGTATTGAGAAATAATATATCTCGAGATATTTGAAAAAACAGTGATATTTGATTAGAATATAATTTCCATATAGCACAGATCATTATAATATTGTACCAATATTACAATGTTCCAGGAAACATTGCAACATCTTATTGCTATTTGTTTCTGTGCTGTATAGGTCACTTTGTGTAATACATTTACTACAAAGCGTTTATTTATTGTTAGCTATTTTTTAAATACCTATTGAAGTGTGATGGAAAGTGAAGATAGAATGTCGCTTCGCGTTATTTTTGCAAAGACTTACCAGTACGTAGACGGCGAACGGCATAACAAGCACCGCTACGAGGAGATCGGCGACCGCCAAACTGACGATAAAGTAGTTAGTGACAGTCTGCAACGCTCGTTCTCTCACTACCGCTAGGATGACGAGCACGTTACCGAAGAGCGTCAAACATGGCACAATCACGAGTATCAGAGCCCACCAGCTGTTCGCGTTAGACTTCTCGTCGACGCCGGCAGTCCCGCACTCACCCGGCCTGACGGTTCCTCCGGCGACTATCGACGACGTGCAATTAACACTACTGAGATTCAGATCTGTGCCGCCGTCGTAGTAGGCCGTCAGATTCACGAGAACGCTGTAGTTCAGTCGATTGATGTAATCATTCAGGTCGTCGAAGGCGAAGAGGTCGGATACGCTACCGGTATAGTTGTCAACGCTCGTAGAGTATGACGACGTGGAGTCTGCGAATGACGAGGAAGCGGACAGAGTCGAAAAGGTGGCGGTCGTCGAGTCATTGAACCAACCGGATCCGTCGCCATCGACGTCACTATCATTCCCCGCAAGGGCATCGCCCAGAAAGTCCGCCATCTTCTCCTCTTGCACGGTCGTGGCGACAACATCGATGACGTTTGTAGCCGCTTCTCCTCCAGGTGGCTCGTCCAGGTGCCGATGCTCGCGAGTCAGGGAAAGGTTTCGAAGGATCGATCTCACGAATGAATCATTCGCTCTTGCCTCCATCACGGTCGATCTCCGTAATCGACCTTACCACCTCGGTCAGGCACTGACACCAATCACGAGATCTTTGAACATCTCGCCCGGAATTCCATCTTCCTGCCTATGCTCGACATTTCCAAGTTAACTTATCTTCCGAGCCACGATCACGTTTCCTGTCTTCTGTTTCCCTTCCTTTTTCCCTTCCACTCTGCCGTCTCCTTTTTCTTCTGGATTCTTTTCTAGGTAGCAAGTACGATAAGACTTCTTGATCCTCTTTGTGAGCAAGAAGAGGTACTGTTTCTAACCGGCCCTTTGGCCGGTCGCACAGTTTTCCAGGATCCTCAGCTTAGACGCGTATCAGTTGAATCCTTCCTCTAGAATTTCTGTAATGGAGGAAAGGTTAGTCACTATCAGCGCTCGCTTTAACGGGAAAACATGCAACCGGGACAAAAGTTTGTTTTCAAATTTCTCTCGGAAAATTGCCCAACAGAAATTTTCCACTTGTAAAACGTGACCTAGAACCGATACCGTGTTCTCGACCTGTATGTACATACGCAAATGTAAGCATTCCTAACTTTTCAGTTTAAATTTTTATGAAGGCGCGGGTTAAACGCGTGATGTTCTCAATTTCAATTGCAAATGCAGTAGTTAGTCGGTTATTCGTTATTTAATTGATATCGGAATGTAAATTTAATAAAAGTTTTAACTAAATTTTTCTTTCAGATTATTAAAAACTAAATTATTATTGTTGACTAAATTCTTCTCTCATTATTTATTACTTTGCTTCATCAGTCATTATATTACTTTGAGAGAGAAATAATATTAATTATAAATTAACTTTTAAAAAAGTATTGTTTGAATATAGATACAAGGTTTTATTATTTAACTATTCTTGGAATTCGTGCAGAATCCTTAATTTTTAAGTTTTAATAAAATTATAACGTATTACGAAATCTTTTTATTTTTTTTTGTCGTACTTTCTTTGTAATAATGTGCCCAAGATTGCCGCCGTATCCATTACCGTGTCCTCAAACACTCTCGCCAAGTAGAACAAACGCGCTCTATTACTCCGCTCGTGATCGCACGGTGATTTTAATCCCGATCAAACTTTCCAAGCGAGACGATAAATTTACGCAAGGAAGCCGCCCGGACTATCGAGTGTCTCCTCTCTAATGAAACGTGGAAGGAAAAACTCGCGCAAGGTCCCATCTGCGCCACCAACATTCGAGACGAGTGTCTCGTGGTGCAATCTCGGAATTAAACAAAAGCTCACGATTGTTCCCATCCGTCCGCCCACGGATCGTTCGAAATGGAACGCCGTTTCATTCTCGGTATAAACGAAAAGATCGAAGGTATATACAGAGAGAAAAGTCGGATTGACAGTTGGACAGGCATTATATGGTGTTTCTTTTCTGGCACGTGCGCTCGATGAGGATGTGAGAAATGTAGAGAGGAAATCAGAAGCAAGAGAGATGAGAGAGAGAGCGGGAGAGGAAAAGGGAAAGGGAGGACGAGGGGGGGGGAGGGGAGAGAGAAAGAGGATAGGCCTCGAAAGATTTCAACACAGCCGGTAAACCCTCTTAAGGACAGAAATCATCTCCTTATCCCACGGGACCTTCCATCCTCCGTCGATTCGATCTCTGCTCTACATAGCGCCTAGAGTAGAAAGGCGAAGTGCTACCGGTATATGTGTATATCGCCCGGCAATATCTTTCAGACTGTAAATTCCTCAGAGTATCGCAGTCTACTGGCTGTAAAGTTCACGGGATATATATGTAGCGCATAATAGCATCCGGTATCCGCTATCTGAATTCTCCCAGCCATAGAGAGTTGGCGGTGTTCATGTAAGCTGAGGGTGAGGAGGAAAGGGAGTCCGATCTATGCAAGCAGGGGGAGGGTAGTTCGCACACGGTTGGCGAGGAAAACAGGGGAACAAAGCGGCTCTGGAGCTGTGGAGGCTCCTGTTAAAAGCCTATGTCGGTCTCTTTCCTTCATTCGTCGGACGACGGATCTATCCATTCTTTATCGACGGCCATTCGTGCCCACGCTTGCGAAAATTGAATTCCATTGTGGCGGCTATTGCAGGCGACCGCGGCGAGTCGTCCGTTTAATGCATTAAGCGCAGCGAATATGCGAGTCGATCGTGTGTCGGCTTGTACTGTGTTTGGGTTGCAAATGCGTGCCACGCGAGATCTTTTTATTTTTCCTCACACGAATGCGCGCAGTTAATACATTTGTTTCGCGCGGGGATGTGTTGTATATCGACATTGCGAAGAAATGTCACATTATTCGGTTAAGTAAGTTATTTAAGAAGATATAGGAAGATTATAAGTATGACAAAAACATTATATCGATTTGTATAATACGATTATATCGTAAAATAGTATGTATATAAAATAGGTTTATATATGCATATTTTTATTACTAAAATGATTAAATTCAAAATAATCAATTTTTTTCAAACTTTGATCACCAAAATAGTCTTAATTTTAAATGTTGTTTGTAGGAAACTCTTTTCTTTATTTATAAATATGACACAATCTAAATCGGTGTTTTTTGTAGAAAGTATTAAGTAGCACTTCTTTGAAAACTTCAAGAAGTGCTACTTATTTTAACTAAAAAGTTATATTTTTTAAATTGTGTCACGTTTTAAGTAAAGGAACGATATATTTTTAGCAACAACAAATGTTCAAATATTTTAGTTACTTCAAAAGTATACATAGATAAATAATACAGACATAAATAAAAATTGGTTTGAATATAAATGACTGAAAGCAAAAATCTTGCAAAAATATATCTTTTTTTAGTTTTTTATACACATATTTTTTTCAAAAAGCTGCATTTATATCAAATTTAAATTTATGAGAACTTTTAGTATATTTCATCAAAGTGACGCGAGTAAAGAGAATGAGTAGAATTTATGGGAAGATAACTAACGCATGTATATTTATAAGAAACTGTAACAAAATATCTATGTAAAAGGAAAATATCAAATTATAATTTTCCATGATGTAACTAAAATCTATATGTTACAATTGCAATTTTTTAAATAGATTTTAGTTGCATATGTAAATAATTAATTTTTAAATTTTATTCTTCACATAAATTAATTTTTATTCTGTATTTAAATACAGAACTTTTGTCAATTTTTGTTTACATCTTCTAAATATATACATTTTAATTTTGTAAATTAATTAAAGATAATAAAATTTATAAATTAGAGAACATATGTTAAATAATTAAATTAATGTTTATTTTGACACTCAATATATTGAAATTATTATTTTAAACTGTAACATATTATTTTCCAAAATTCTTTTATGACATATAAATTTAACAATACAATGTGTAATAATGATTCCGTGTATTATTAATAACTATAGTCTGTTTAATTTTTGGTATATCAATATACTTGTTGATCTTAAAGATTTCTAAGATCAGTGTATATAAAAGGAAAAATTGGAGGGTTTTATCTTCGCTTTTATAAAAGTATAAATGCATATAACGTAGTTTCTCCAAGCTCTTGAAAACCATTAGGGAAAAAATCCGGAGTAGAGACGACCCAGAAAAGGAAACAGCACGCATCCTGTAATTCACCCCGTATTCTCTCTTATCCCTTTTTTCTTTCATCATCAGCATGCTCTCCTTCATCGTTCAAATCTTCTTTTTACTTTGTATACCGCGACCTCCGTTCTCTGGCAACGAGTATTCGACGAAAGTGTAGGAACTAAAGAAGAGTGACTGAATTTTATCAGAAGGAATGTATACCCACACTGCGAAAGTCAAATCTTAAACGTCGTTCCGAGGCCGCCGACATTTTAGACTGTCTCTTCGATATCGACATTCTGGAAATGTTCGCGAATGCCATTCCCGACTTCGCTTTGCCGTAAATTTAAGAAAAGTAAAGGGAATGCCGTGGCGTGTAAGTGTTTTATATAATAGCAGTATCGCATTGCCATTTGTTGCTCACGAATTACTATGTGAAATTACTCTATTACGACAACACGCTGCAAATTTACTTTTTTCTATATATTTTCTTACTTTCATAATGATTGAGATACGATTAATTTATTTATGCAATTTAATGATTTTAATTTCAAGCCACACATTAATATTTAAAAATAATGAATATTTGTCGAAAACTTTCAACAGTTCCCGGATTTGCAAGTCGATTTGAAGTCGATTGATTTTTAGAACCGTTTGATTTGATATTTACTAAATTTTATTGATCTTCTTCGCAGATCAATAGAAAAGGTAGATTTTGGTTTGAAAAATTAATCGATGATTCGATTTTGACTTATGAACCAGGGTTTAACTATCAACAATTTGTAATCTATAAACTGAAAAGGATTGAAAGGATCTTTAGTATTTTCTGAGATATATGGAATCCTAAAACTGCAAAGGAATTTAAGAGATTAACGATGAAATATATTCAACAGTACTTGCAATATTTTTAACGACAAAGTGTTTTATATATCGTATTACTCTTTTCATTCTTTATGCTTCCATAGTATTTTATACATGGAATATATGATAGCCGAGTTAGAGCGCAGGCAAATTATTCATAAGAATAATGCTATTCTCCCATGGAATCTTTGATATTTTGAAGATTCTGGAAGATAATTTAAAGACTTGTAGATACCACTAATTTTTTCGACATTATTCTACAGAAATACCCGACTTCTGTTTACAGATTATATAATATAAGGATTGCGAACTGATATACATGCTCGATTACGATTAATGCTGGTCTGAGTAATAAGTGAAGTAAGAATATTCTCTTTCCTCCTGCCTCTCGACAAGAAACGTAGCATTACTTGAATATGTAAATATGCAAAACGATATTAATCCCTAGTGAAGAACACAGTGTTGAAATTTTATTCTCGGCATTTGGTGCCGTTGTTGCCGCTCGCGTCCCCTCCTAAAGTAAAACTTCATGCATTATTCTGCGCTTATGCACAGAAAAGAGAAAATACCGAAATTTGACATTTCATTTCCTCCAAACCTAACATAGTGTGCGCGTT